TCTCCAACAAATGGGTCTTCCGGAAGAAACTAAGGCCAGATGGTTCGATTCAGCGGTACAAGGAAAGGTTAGTCGTCAAAGAGTTTACTCAAAGGTTTGGTTTAGACTACTTTGATACATACTCTCCCGTTACGAAAATCTCAACGATTCGTGCATTATTTGCGCTAGCCTCTATTCATAAGTTACAGGTACATCAAATGGATGTTAAGACTGCTTTCTTGAATGGGAATCTAGATGAGGAGATTTACATGGAGTAGCCACTAGGTTTTGAAGCACCTGGTATGGAAGGGAAAGTCTGTAGACTTAAAAAGTCACTTTATGGACTTAAGCAGGCTCCTAAACAGTGGTATGAGAAATTCCATAAAACTATTCTTAGTTTTGGTTTTGTTGTGAATGGTTTGGATGCTTGTGTGTATTCGAAGATGTTTGATACTGAATGTGTCATCATAAGCCGGTATGTTGATGACATGTTGATTTTCAGTTCTAACATCGAGTTCATTAACAAAGTTAAGAGTTTCTTGTCCACTAAGTTTGAGATGACAGATTTGGGAGAAGTTGATGTAATCTTAGGAGTCAGAGTTACCAAAACTGAAAAGGGATTTTCTTTAAGTAAAGCACATTATATAGAGAAAGTGCTAAAGAAACTTGACAGTTTTGATGTCGTCCCTGTTCGAACTCCTTATGACCCTAGCATACATCTTGTTAAGAATAAAGGAAGTAGCGTTTCCCAAACTGAATATGCTAAATTAATCGGAAGCTTAATGTTCTTAATGAACTATACTCGGCCTGATATTGCTTATGCTGTGAGTAGACTGAGTAGATATACTCATAATCCGAGTGGTGAACACTGGATTGCTCTTAAACGCTTACTGAAGTATCTTAAGGGTACTTTGGATTGGAAACTTGAGTTCGTTGGCTTTCTTGCGGTATTGGAAGGATATTGTGGTGCCAACTGGGTTTCTGATAATGATGAGGTAAGCTCTACGAGTGGGTATATTTTTACTTTGGGTGGAGCAACAATCTCGTGGAAATCATCAAAGCAGACTTGTATTGCTCGTTCTACCATGGAGTCAGAGTTTATAGCTCTTGACCTAGTTGGGCAAGAAGCCGAGTAGCTCAGAAGCTTGTTAGCAGATATTTCGTTGTGGGGAAGATCGACTCCTCCAATTTCATTATTGTGTGATTCATAAGTTGCGATATGTGTGGCTAAGAACCAAGATTACAATGGTAAGAAAAGACACATTCGCATAAGACATGAATCAGTTAGACACTTAATAAAGAATTGAGTGCTCTCTTTAAAGTATGTGAAGTCGAAAAGGAACCTAGCAAATCCGCTTACCAAAGGGTTAAGTCGGAAGCTGGTCTTAGATTCGTCGAGGGGGATGGGTCTAAATCCCATTGGTTGAGGAATTCATGGTGGATACCCAACTTAGTTATCTAAGTTCCATGTGGTCAAACGAAACCATGAAAAGACTCATAGTGCACATTCCTACTGCCTATCCCTATGACGAATAATGTGCATGCCCAGGATGAGCTTAAGTGCTCTTAATAAATTCATAGCCCAGGCTTTGGGTGGTCTTAGTGAGAAATACTTGATGAATTTACCGATTTTGGCTGAATATCTATTCTTAATAAGTTCATAACCCAGAGTGAGTGGGTAGGAAATGATGAACTTACCGACAGAAAGGTTGAGTTTGTTAAACTCTTAATAAATTCAAATCCAAGTATTTGGATGGTTCTAGTGAGAATGACTTATTGAATTTACCGATAAATGAGGTTGAATATTTATTCTTAATGACTTCTTAGCCCAGAGTTTGGGTGGTTCATTTATAATGAACTTGAAGAAAGTCACCATACCCTTTGTGAGGTTGAGCTATTATAAAAGCTCTTAATTATTTCATATCCCTTTTAAGGGTGGTTTATGTTGAGATAAACTTGATGAAATAACCTATGTAAGTGAGAAGAGTTAGCTGCCTTCTATGAAAAATGTTGGGCCATTTTTCTAGCACACTTACTAGAATCCTGAGGTAAGATGGCCAAATATATACTTTTGTATATATATATCTTACACATCGAGGACTCAGGTGGATGAAGGGGTTAGTTGTGTGTTATGAGTTTACCCCCATCTTAGAAAGTTCCAGACTAGTTTCACTTATTTAATAGAAGGAATGCTCATCATCACTATGTACTAGTTCCAGATACATTCACTAGTGCTTAAGCAACTAATCTCGCTATTGCTCTTCTGGAAAGTTTGTTTTCGAGTTTCAGAAGAATTCTTTCGCATTAGTGGGGGAATGTTGGTAATGCTCAATCTCACATAGTATTGGAAACACTATTGGGAATGGGTATTTATAGTATGGAATTCCCACTTCCTTGTTGAGTGAAAGAGAACAATGGGGACTCTCGCGCACCGCTGCCGCCGCCGTCTGTCTCGGCACGGCACGACACGACTCGGCTCGTGGTCGTGGTAATACATGTCTTCGACACGTCCGCGCGGATACTATCTTTTTAGAGAAAATTCTTGAGGAATTTCTCTTTGAAAGAAACAAATGGAAACATGTGAAAGATTTCAACTGATATTTATAGGCTGTTGAGGACTGTTTAATTTCAAATGATAACAGCTGATTTATGAGAGTTATCAGAAATTAAACAGCTTTTCCTAAATTAAATAAAAAACGTTAAGATGTATCTGGACTCATTTCCAGCTTTGTACAGAGGAGACAAGCTGTTAATATCAGGAGTTACAGGAGTTATTTGATTTAATTACATGGGTTACATGATATAATTTCAGGAGTTATAACAGCTGAACAATGATGCAATGAACCTGGACTATTTTTGAGTCAGGTTCATCTAGACGTTTCAGTTGTTACAAAAGAAGAGATTTAATCCTGAAATTTTATGAACGATTTTAACCCTATTTCTAGCCTATAAATATAGGGCTATATTCAGCTTATCAACTCACTCTCAACATTCACAATTCACTCTCAAAGTGTTTTCTGCAATTATTCTTTTTGTGCTTTCCGATAAGAAGAGCAATACCACCGGCAGTCCACTCCGATTTCGGGTGTACAGAATTCGGAGCGACCGTGTTAACCTCGGGGGACGGTCTGTCTACTGTAGCGATTACACACATCGGGGCGAATTCGTTTCTAAGGCAGTGGTTATACCACGACACGGTTTACGAATCTGTTCCTTTTAATTACTGTTTATATTTCCAGTCAATGCTAACGGTATAGTTTTGCAGTTCATATATCCAATAATTTTTAATATATTTCTTTTCGCATATTATTAAAGTGTTTATTTTTGTCTGCGTTTATGACATAGTTGCTCATTGCTTTTATGGTACGATTTGATCTATCATTATGATTGTTTGATGTTTCGTGTTGCATCTATTACGGTGCACTATTAATAAAGAAATATCGACATTCCCGTATAGTTAAATCACCTTTTGCGGTAGTTTATTGATGATTTAGAATTGTTTGCGGAACAATATGTCATATTGATTCTCTTAGTCTCCACACCTACATCAATATTGTGTCTAGGTTCGAATAAAAATTATTGATAATTGTTAGGTCTTTTTTGAAAGATGAAACATGTATTCAAAGAAAGATTTTAATTTTAATTTTATTTTTCTTTATACCTTTCAGATTTTCATGTTGAAATTGTATTGTTTTTATTATACCTTACTTTTTTATTTAATGAAAAACTAACTTTTTGTTAACGTGAATCAAATAATTTACAAAATTTATTTATAATTTAATGGCGAACATTGTAAAGATAGAGAAATCATGAAAGAAAATTAAACAATTTTATGTAAATAAAACATTATTTTTTATTATTTAAAGAAATGGCACACAAAACAAATTATTTAGAAAAATAGCATCTATTTCCTAACAAATGATGTCATGTAAGGTAAAAGCATGTACTGTCAGAAGCACTTTTTAAAGACTTATTTCATAGAGAGCGTCTCTACATTATGTGACATTTTTCATTTATTTATATTTTAAGATCAAATTATAAGAAAATAAAAGTATAAGAATTAAAAAACAATAATTTTAAAAAATTAAATTAAATTTTATTTTATTTTTTTTTAGTTTATTGACAATATACATTACACACAAAATTATTTGAATTGAAGTCTTTTAAGAGTAATAATATTTCTTATGATCATTACGGTCATTTGATGAGTTTATTTTTTTTTTGTTTAAATGAATTCAAGGATTAAAATTATTAATAAAAAACCTAACAACTTAAAATGAAAAGTTAAATAATATGACGATAATAAGGTACCTTTGACCTTTTATCATTACGTAGATCTAAAAAAATTATGTGAATTAGAAAAACATTTGTCGCAATTAGACATAAAATTTGTCATCTAAAAATTTTACAATATAATTATATTTCAAACATTAAAATTCGATTGTTTAAACTAAACTCGTCATTTTCTAACTAGGCACATATCCTGTAAGATTCATTCCCCCCACCCCCCACCCCCACGTGACACTTTGTAATTTTATCGAAAACTAATATCATTTTTTTAAATAATTTATTTAAATATTATTCTCTTAAATAATTAAAATAATAGTATTATTTATGTAAAAAAACCCAGAAGATTAGCTCTCCCATTTGACGAATTTAGGTATAATATATTAAAATTTTATACTATCATATATATTCAGTTACTTATATTAAAAAATAAATAATAGAAATAATACATTTGTTAATTATCATATTAAAAATAACCCGGGTGGAGAATTTCTAAAATAGTGCACATTAAAAAGAATCTGGCAGTTAAGAACGAGTGATTATTCTATTTTATTTTGTAAGTGAAGGTGAACTAATTGCATGATAATGATGTCCAACGTAATTAAACCATTACAAATTAATCATCCAAATTAAGGGCTAAATACAAAATAAAAAAGAGATAGAGGATGTAAAAGAAAAATCGTGAAAAGAACACCATCCTCATCGGTATTTAACATTTTGCGACTCGAAAGAAGTAATATTTATCTCATTGACCCCCCACGCTCTCACTCGCTCATTTCAGACTCGGTGACTCACCCTCAGTTTTATTCGCCTCCTGTCTCTCTCTCTCTCATAGCTCGCCAAGCTTTCATTTCCGACAGCGACGCCAACTGCGGTTATGCTTGGCAGATTCCGGCGGTTCTCCAGCTGCATTTCGTGTGATATTAGATTCTGATCACCAGGTCACTCTCTCTCTCCCTCTAAGCTAATCTCTGCTTCTTACACGTAATAGAAAGGGCGTGTCAGTTTCTAGAGAGAGATCAGGAGTAATTCTCAGTTTCCTTTTTCTCGCGGTCCTCTTACGATCTCTCTTTTCTTTTAATTCTAAATACGTTTTTTTGGAAAAATATTATAAATATGCATTATTTTCAAACAAATATAACTGCAAAATCAAATCTTAATTATTTTTCTAGATTTGATTGCCTTTCACTCTGCAATAATCTCAGCTTAGAAGCTATTTTTTCAAATAGATTATTCCTTTTTGACTCCACATATGTGTAGTTTTTTAATCTCAAAGTTCTTCCGCTTTACTTACTTGAGGTGCTTTGTTTTTCTATTTCCTCCATTTTCCAATGAATGCAGTTGCTTTGATACTTTTATCATTGTCAAATTAGTATAGAATTTTTTTTACAAATAAAAAATACTTTGCGGTTTTGCTTCAGAGCTTATAACGACGTGTGATGTGATGCAGCATGTGAAAAATATTTCCTTTTCCTTACTATTTTTTTTCTTTCCTGTCCAAGCTTCCCTGTCTCCTTCTTCTTTTCTTCCCGAGGGTGGTGCTGGTTTTTAAATCGGTTTCCTGGTTTTGAATTTGGACCTGGGAATTGATCTGCAAAGGAAATAGCTTGATTGACTTGTAGGAGTGTTGTATTTTGAGTTGGTTAGGACTTGTGATCATATAATGTTCTTGCAATGGCATTCTTTTGAATCATCCGTGTTATCGTTATTGTTTGATTTGCATTTTACTTTTGAAGTTTACTCTGCTAAAAGTACTATTATTTGACTAATTTGTAGCTTGATTTGACATATTCCCTGATTTTAGTTTTCTTTTTATAATTAGGAGAAAAAAATTGGAAATTAATTTGGGATTTTTCGTTTGTGTGCTTAGCAGGTGTGGAAATGAACGGGATTCAGAACAGGAAAGGTCAGAGTATTGAGAAATTTCCAGGATGTCTGGGTAGGATGGTAAACCTGTTTGATTTCAACGTAGGCGTTCCTCGAAACAGCCTGCTTAGTGATAAACCACATGGCGATTATGGTGATCTCCTTTTTCATGAAAAAGGTAGTTTTCCTTTTTTGGTTCTTTTGCTTTTGAAGATTTGAGCACTTTGTTGTCTGGGTAGTAGGTTTCCATGATCATCACTTGTGTAGTTAGTATTCCTTTTTTCCTTCAATTCAAAGCATTTTTCATTTCTTTTTGTCACTTGTCTATTGAAGAAAATTCAGAACTTTGTAAAATTATATTTATGAAAGTTAACTGCTGAATCCGCTATTAGATTTTCTTCCAAAATTTTGAAGGTTTATAAAATGGTATAAGATGTGGAATCTTACTCTGGTTCTGGAGGGCAGTTATTCTGTAGTTCATGTCTATTGCCTTAACTACTGGTACTTGCCTTCAATTTTCTATATTTCTGGTCTTAGTACGGTGGCAATCTTAAATTGTAGAGACCCCCCCCCCCCCAAAAAAAAAAAAAAAACTAAAATTACTTAGACAAATTGTATACAATGAATCAAATGTTGTGTATAGGTAGTTTTCGATGCTTATGATTTTATTATATATTTACCTTGCTATTTTGACATGGTGATACTTGAATGAGCAGGTTCCTCACTCACAAGGAGTCAATCTGACGTGGTAAGGATGGTGAGCCCCACATTTGGAGACCCTATAGAGGATAAAGCGGTAAGCATTGGTTTTTAATCTGCAATAGTAATTATATAAACAAGTTGCAAACAGATTCTTTTCAGAACTTGTCTATGTATGTTCCACCTGTATTATAAAATTAAATATCCTAGTGTCCTTACCTGTGCTGATTTTTTTTATCTGTGCAGAATATATCTGAGTTACGGAGAACTTTGTCAAACAAGAAAGGTAATGGAACACCCATGAAGAGGCTCATAGCCAAGGAAATGTCAAAAGAAGTAGAATCTACGGATGACCCACCCAATGTGGTTGCTAAGCTGATGGGGCTCGACACTACCAAAGCTGCAGCATAATTTAGCTTCACAAAGATGCCATTCTAAAGGTCCATCTCGACGCTCTTTGAGTCAATCTGAGATACCAATGGAAGGCTGGAAGCAAGGCCGAGTCTTTTCAGCCAAGCAAATGCAATGCGAAGGAAATCTCTGTGGAGAGCTGAACAAATATGAAGATGTTTTTGAAATATGGAAACAGTCCTCTAGGACAACTAACGCAAGACACAGCTCTCCACATATAGGCAGTTATAATGATAATGTGAATGAGAAAAGAATAGCACTAGTTCGTCAAAAGTTTATGGAAGTTAAACATCTGGTGACTGATGAAAAACTTCGCCAGACCAAGGAATTTCAGGACGCACTTGAAGTTTTGAGTTCCAATAGAGAGTTATTCCTCAAGCTTCTTGAAGAGCCAAATTCTACATTCTCTCAGTCTCTTCACAATTTCCAGTCTTTAATTCCTGAGACAAAGCATATCACTATTCTTAGACCTTCCATGATGGTTGACAAAGAAAAACTTTCTGGAGTAGGAAAGAAGGGTGATAAACAGACCAAGATACCTGCGCAGATGGGTCAAGTAACTAGGTGGGATAGAAACAACACTGCATGTTCTCCTCCTTTCCCCGATCCAAATGTTGACGAATATTCTTCCCAACCAACTAGAATTGTGGTATTGAAGCCCAGCCTTGGGAAGACTCAGAACATTAAGACTTTCGCAGCTCCATCTTTCTCATCACCCAGGTTAGTGCATGGTGAAGATTCTTTTGAGGAACCAGAAGATGATGATGTACAAGAACAGAGAAGAGAAGTGGCCAAGGGAATCACTAGAGAGACGCTAGAAAATATGATGCATCACAGGAGGGAAGAAACATTGCTTTCTTCTGTGTTTTCTAATGGTTATATTGGTGATGATAGTTCATTTAATAGATCCGAAAACGAGTGTGCTGCAGAAAACCTCAGTGATTCTGATGGTATGTCACCAACTTCTAGACATTCTTCCTCTTCCTTCAGCCGTGCATCATGTTCTACCAAGTCCTCAGTTTGCAGGGAAGCAAAGAAACGACTTTCAGAAAGATGGAGCCTGGTGGCATCAAATAAGAGTTCTCAAGAACAAAGAAACATTGTGAGAAGCTCAAGCACATTAGGTGAGATGCTTGCTCTTTCTGATACCAAAATGTTGGTGAAATCTGAAGAAGAGGGAAATAATAAGGAACAAGAACCTGAGGAATCAACGTCATGCCTAACTTTGAATAAAGAAGAAAGTACAAGTGATTCTCCCAAGAACCGTCTCAGGTCAACAGGGCTCCTATCTTCCACTGCAAATGGTGGAAGGCTTGAAGTTGAAGTTTCAGATCCAAGAGATAGCAAAGAAAAAGTTTCCAAGGAACTGGCAAAGGCAAAGGCAAAGAGCATGAAATCATCTTTGAAAGGAAAAGTTTCAGGTTTATTTTTCTCGAAGAATAAGAAAACCAATAAACAAAAATCTAGTGGATCTCAAGCTACTGATGCATCTCAATCTGCAACTCCTGGAACACCTGGCTCACCCATAATTCATCCTCGAAAGATTAGCAGTAATTCATCTCAATGTGTTAACAGTTGCAACCAAGAGCGTTTCTATGAAACTCATTTACCAGATTTGACTAGTATGGGACAGAAACAAGGCATGATTTCCTTCCAGGTACTTCAAACTTCTCGAGTTTCTTAGCAATTCATATATTTATTGAATGTTTACATCTTGTTTTATACACATACATCAAATATGCTCTAGTTTTTCTATCCTGATCTGAGATTTGACTGTTCAAGATGGAAAGTGCAACAAAATTGCCTCCCATCTATAAAATCTAGGAGAGCGGAAGCCAGCACATAATAAACCTTTAATATTCTTTTACCTTTATCCGAACAGTGTGCGATGCTGAAGATGATATAATTCTTCAAATAGGGTTGAATAAATTTTCCCACTATTACAGGATGATCTCGTATTTAAGAGCATCATTATGTTTATATTCATTTATTTTCTTAGCTATGACAAATATTAGTCATCATCTTAGCCAACTTAAGGGGCAGTACTGTGATCTGCACATGAGATCAGATTGTATTCTAAACTTCTACGACTTAATCACTTATCAATACTTTGGTCACTTTTTGTAGGCAGGGTTGTCTGTACCAAAAACTTCAATGGCAGCCCATATGAGCGAGAATCAGGAGCAGCCGAGCCCTATCTCGGTTCTAGAACCTCCGTTTGATGAGGAAGAGAACACAATTCACGAGTGCTCTGGCAGTTTCAAAACTCTGCACCCAGGTAAACTTCACTTATTAATACTGGGAAAATTTATTACTTGCCTGATTTCTTAGTTCCTCTTATCCTCATTTATTTTCCCTTTAATAAAATAGGTTTGGAGGTGCCACTTAACTCTAACTTGATTGACAAGTCACCACCAATAGAATCAATTGCTCGCGTCCTATCATGGGGTATTTCTTTTTCAGAGACAGCATCAAGCCTCTCTATGGTTTCCCCCGGTCCCAAGGAAGAACATGATTGGGTTTTCTCAGTCCAATCACTATTATCAGCCACGGCTCTCAATGGCCAGATGCCAGTCGAGTCGTTTAGATGGCATTCACCTGAAAGCCCGTTGGACCCATCCTTGAGAGACAAATATGCCAACTTGAATGCCAAAGAACCTCTACATGAGTCCAAGCGACGACAATGGAGATCAAACAGGAAGCTCGTGTTCGACTGTGTGAATGCAGCATTATTAGAAATCACAGGTTCCGGTTCAGACAGTTGTGTGAGAACCCTGTCATCAGGCAGGGAGGGTGCATCTTCCATGCTGGTTGACCAAGTGTGGTCCCAAATGAAGGAATTGTTTTCCGGTGAGGTGAAATGTGGTTTAGTGGGTGATGACCTGGTGGTGCAGAAAGAAGTGGTGAATGAAACGCGGGCTTATCAAATAAAATTGGAAAAAGATAATTTGGGAAGGGAGATAGAAGGGAAGTTGCTAGAAGAGCTTGTGGAAGAGGCAGTAATGTGGATTTGACCAAGTAGGCCTTTGTACTCTCTCCATTGATTGTAACTCTTTTCTGTTTTGTGAATCTGTGCATTTGATATTTGAACAACCAAGATCCTGACCCATGCTTTATTTGTTTATTGTTGTACATAAAATAATGGTAATATTATTAATCTGATATGAGTTGTTTAAAAATATTATTGTTCTGATTGAAATGTATATAATTAGCATTAAAATATATTTCCTCAGCTGAAGACACTACAGACAGTGTCTCCAATCTCCATCCTTAACGCTACCGAAATCGGTTCAAATAAATGGGGCAATGTTCATCTACCATCTCCTATTGTATAATTTAAACTATATCTAGCAAAAGGTAGCAAGCATAAAAAGAAAAAGATTACATGGGTAAAAAGGCAGACTATGTTCTTTAATTTCCTTGACCATGTATTCTACATGCAACCATTTTATGCAATTTGCAAACAACGTTTGCCATCATACAATTATTTTATATAACAAATTCATACGGGGATTATAATATATAGAACATACACAACTTCTTGTTTCTATTTATTATAAATAAAAAGATCCCAGGATAACTTTACCCTCAACTAGATGACAAAAGAATAGGATTAAATAAAGATTTCACAAATTTCCATGATTTTCTTATTATAACAAGGAGAGAAAAAAAAATTCCCACAGGGATGTCCAAAGGAATATTGTTGTGGGAGGGCAAACACATGGGAGGCGACCAAGTAATATTAAACATAGCACAGGGAAATAAAAATCACGTCGTGACATAAAAATAAAATATATACAAATATCTCAGAATCTATATATAATATAATTCATTAATATATCGATATATGTATATGAATGATATCTTGAGCACAATTATGATACAAAAGATAAAAAAAAGTACACAAATATAACACATATATTCATGCAGGACGCATAACCATAACAGACAATCCTTGGGTCCAGTTAACATAGCTCAACATCTAGAACATCTAGTTTGGAACAGTAAGGTTGATGAAGAGAGAGGAAAACAGAAAGACGGGGATCAAACTTAAATCAACTGCACTATATTATAAGTTGAGCTGTTTAGGAATAGTACATTCACTCTGACAATTCGGTTTAATGACGATCATAATACAGTATTACAAACAACGAACTTCTCGTTTATAGAGAATGCCATTATCACCACATTCAGTTAGGACAATCATTCCATAGGTGCAATTGGAAAGACCTATATACATCTAACTTCCTCCACAAAAAGTAGAGAGTAAAAGGACTTCATACTTGCAAAGATATGTACTTGCTCAGTTCAAGATACAAGGGACACATCTGCCTATGAGATGGTCATGGACCATTCTTTTTTGTTATTGTTCTACTTGGACTTCATACTTGCAGATGCATTCTGGTTTAGTAGACTGTATTTATCAGGACCGTTGGATCTATCATCACTGTTCAGTCCATACTGCAATGCCCAATTCAATGTTATGATTTACAATACAAAAGCCAATATTATAAGGAAGGTACTGCACATGGATAGATAGAAGTGGAAACAAAACAAAGCATGAATGATTGTCCCCCTTTAAATTATAGTGATTCTTAACAAAATTTCGAGTACTTATATGAACCAAGATTACATCAAAAACACCAGTAACGAACATCATAAAATTTGCTTTGCATCTGGACCACCCTTTTGCATTATAGTTGCTGTTTGTCAACCAGAAGAAAGTTACTAAAACCCAAAGCCAAACAAAAAATAGTTAAACAAGATAACTTCCAACCAGGATCATAACATCTCCCCAAAATTCCAAAAGGGAGAGAAGACAAAAAGGAACCGAAATCATGATTTCACAACTGAAGTAAAGACACAAAGTATCATGTACAAGTATCATTGATCAGTCATTGGGAACTGGGATCTCTCTATCACATTAACAGCTGTGCACTGCATATATAAAAGTATTTATTTCTGACTCAGATATCAGACTGAGGAGAGAGTTGAATGAATGGGAATTTGAGCAATGGGCAAATTTGATGGTTGTTATCTCTGATTTTTCTATTTCTGCTGATGCCACTGATGGACTGTTTTGGAAGGGGAATGGGGAAGGGGTTTTCACTGTGAAATCATGTGTCAATCTATCTTATTCGGGTTCTCCCGATTCAGAGGAAGCTAAATTTTGGAAGTCTAATGTTTGGAGGGGTCTGTTGCCTCCAAGAGTTGAGACTTTTCTTTGGCAAGTTATCTTAAAGAAGTTGGCGGTCAAGACAGCTCTGGTTAAGAGAGGTGTTCAGGGCATAAATGATACTTTGTGTTCTTTCTGTAATCTTGAAGAAGAGTCTTCATCGCATTTATTTTTTTCCTGTTCGGTTGTTTGGCCAATTTGGATGAAATTCTTGGGCTATTGGAATTTTCAGTCGGTTTTTCATGAAGATGCTAAAGGATTCCTATTGGCTTGGAATGACTTGAAGACCAACTCTCTTATCTGGCCATTTATTCCTGGAGCTGTTCTATGGACAATTTGGAAGACCAGGAATTTTATAGTGTTTGAAGGAGGGAAGCTTGATCGAGCAGAGATTTTCTTTCTAGCTAGGTGCAGGCTTGCTTCATGGTTTCTAGCTAAGGAAACTAATGTTACTATTTCCAAGGATGATATTATTGCTGACCCGTCCATAGTGGATTCCTACTCGTCCCATTCTAATCGGGTTTCAACCGTGTTTCCTTGGTCCCCTCCTCCAAAAGGGTTTGTTAAACTTAATGTGGATGCGGCTACCTCGAGTGATTGGAAGAGGAGTGGCTTAGGTGGTATTTTGAAAGACTTGTCTGGTTCGATTCTTGGCTCCTTCAAAGAGCCTGCTGGTCCGGGCCCCCCAACTTTAATGGAATTGAAGGCTATCCTAAAGGGTTTAGATTTTTTTGAATCTATTCGTCATAGGGTTAAAGATAGATTGATTATTGAGAGTGATAGTCAGGTGGCAGTTGGCTGGATTAAGGATGTGGTCTCTTGTCCTGTTGTTTATGTTCAAATAGTTAAAGACATTATTCAAAAGCTTAGTGTTTTTGAAGGTTTTATTAGTTGGGTTAGTAGGACAGCCAATATAGAGGCGGATGTCCTAGCTAAGGCGGGTATTGGTTGATTTATGCTCTGTTAAGGGCTGTTTCTTTCTGGTTTTGTATCTCTTGAGGGAGATTGGTTTGTATTACTTTGTTATATTTGAGTTTAATGAATCCTAGGGCACTCCTTTCCTCCTTGTGTGGATTAAGGAACTATTTTTAAGTTCCGTTAATCACCAAGGGGGTTTTATTGAGGCCTTTTATTCCTATCAAAAAAAAGATATCAGACTGCAAGGCTGGGACAAATGACACTGAGTTGGATTATTAGTTTATTTCAGATCTGACCAATGTCTTCTATAGATTCCATGCATCCGAACTAATTAGATAGTATCAAATAGCAACCAGACTGAGTTTCACACATGGAATTATCGTTTTAGTTCAATACCCCACTTATGATTTAGTAACTTGTGAGTGTGAATCCCAATGAGATTAATTTTGTGGATTTGAATCTGAAAAAAAAAATATTTGGAAGCATATGTGAAAGAAAATCAAATGTACACTTGTGAACTGCATACATGTTCAATCACGGCTTATTTGCTACTGATATCCTGGATTGTGATACTAGGTTAAGGACAGTGAGTTGGACCATTCACTTGTCATCCTGTCACCAAATACTTCAATAGATTCCCTAAAATAATTTACATAGTATGGAAGTAATGAGATCCACTGTTTTTATAGATACTAAGTCGAGGAACCATTTACACAGGCAGCAGTCATCATTCAATCTAGAATTAGATGTCATGCAATGGATTTCTCATCATACAGAATAACCTAATAAAACAGAGTGAACTGTCCCACATAAATAGAATCAAGCCATAATTTTATGCTAACATACCTTTTCTCTTATTCGTGATCCCCAGATATCAGAGTGTGGTTCTCTGCCATCACCCTTGGATGTAGCAGATGTGTGGCTAGATTGAGGGTTTAGGAGGGGGCCTCTAATACTTTCATAATCATATTCATCGTCTATGCCCATTCTTCTAGAGGATACCATTGCCCGCAAAATTATTGCCACTAGCAAAGCCAATGCCTGAAAGATTACAGGAATAAGCAAAAACACGATTAAAGGAAATAAAAATATATATATATATATATGCATATAAAATTCCTTTCTTTTCTTTCATATTAAAAAACAAGATTTATTTCATCTGGTCGTTGAATTTAATTACCGTATATACTTATATATGAACTAAAAAAATATGTCCATGCATTTTCAGTTCATAACAGTTTGACTTGTCCCAATAAAAAATGTGGGACTAAGATGGATTCCTATATTTTCAATGAAAATTTTCGTTTTGTTTCAATTATAAAAAAAAAATATTAAAAAAATTATAATTACGAAAACAACAAAGTTGGTGTGTTGTAAGCCACGATCAAGTAATGGTTGGGCATAGGCAGTATCTAGTTAGAAGTGTCAATATATCATCCACGGTAACTTTATCACCTCAATAAGGAAAGTGGACTAAGTATTTCATCTTGTTAAAGATTACTCGGTGGTTAAGTTTATTTAAGCAAGAATTCCTATGGATTTTTGTGTAATCTCTATGTTTATAGCAGATTTTCTTCTCTGCTATGTGGAGTGGAGATAGGCAGGGCCGAACCATGTTAAATGTGATTTAGTCCATGTTAATCTCATTTTGATTATTTTTTCTGCTTACAAATTCCTAATAAGTGGCATCATGAGCTATGGTTATGATGATCTGGTCATGAGTTGTTATTCAGTTTCAAGAGAACTTGTTATTGTCAATTATGTTAGCAAGAATAGAGATATGCAAGAGAGTTTGTGGCAGAGGTATTGATTCTCAATCAATCCAACAATGTTTCAACGGATATTTGGTAATTTTGTGATTGAATTTGTGTCAAGGGAGAGATTATTATGTATTGAATCAAATTCTAATTGACAATTAAGTTAGATTTTGCTGTAATTATAGTGGTTGATGATTACTTAGTGGTTAAGTTTACTTGGGTAAAAATCCTAATGAAATTTCTTGGTGACCAAGTGTTTGACTTTATAAATATGGATTAGGTATTAACCTTTAGAATTATGCTAGAAAGAATTATTAGAGGGATGTAGTTCTTTTGGGATCTTTGTTTGAGAGATTGATTTTTGTAGGATGTTGGAAGAGTTTCTTTGGTAAAATACTAGGTTTGTGAGATATATCGATTTTTTGGGGTATAGGGAATTACATTTATTTAAAGTCTTGTAATCTCTATATTTATAGTGAATTTTCTTTCACCTCTTTGTGTGTGATTTATTTCATGTTGATCTTCTTTTGATTATTTTGTTTACTTTTAAATTCCTAACATTGTGCAAGGGTGTGGTCATAATTTTCGAACATCTAATTTTTGCTTTCTTAATCTTTCCCGCAAATATTTGGGAACACTAGAACCAAAGCTTATATTAATCAAAGCCGCAGATCACAAAGTATGTGTATTTGGTTACAGCATTTCTTTTGCATTTTAGTGCATAATAATTGCAATTAATTTAGTAAGTTATAAAATGCTTGAGAATGGTCTAGAATATACCTGAATTATGACCACACTGATTCCAACCCATTTACATATATCAATGTTGTCTTCAATGAAGCATTGAAGGGTATCAAGTTCTCCAGTTGGGTCAAATGGAATATCCTGTCAGAAAATATGTATTTAGTTAATCTGCCCATGATCAAAGGCATGGCATCTCTAGACAATAGCAATGCACCAAAAATCAGGCTATACCTTCTCCCAGCTACGGTCAATTGCAATAAATGCCACCAAAGCAGCTTCTATTAGAATGAGAACAATTTTTAGGAGTGTGTACTGGCAGTTTGATCAAGTCAAGCAAAAATATTTAATAGAATGCAGTCAATTGGATAATTGGCAGGACATAATAACTTCGACACTTCGAAGTTTGTTATAGAGCTTAGTATTTGGTTTTAGAGAGACTTAATGTGAAAACGTATAAGAAGAAACTCTGAAATTTGTGCTTAAGATTTTATCCTATTTTAGCACTTTCTCAAGAAGAAACTCTGAAATTTGTACTTAAGATTTTCAATGCTACTACACTGTCTGAAATTTGCATTTTTCATTAAAAACCTCATGCTGGCCTCTATTATGTAGATATTCAGAAACCAGACTCTAAGCCATATATAAAGACTCATCTAGGTAGGATACGAAGCAAAGGCAGCAGCCATTAATAGATTCAGCAGCTATGCAACCAATGAGAGTAATGCAACATAGCACAATGCCCACTCCCATGAAAGAATATATGAACCTAAAACAAATAAGAAAAGCATCAACTTAACACTCATCTAAGCATTACCAAATACAAACATTCAAGAACAAGCAACTCCAAAACTAATGGTTATATAGCTAATCATATAAAAAAATAAACAACCGAAAGAGACACACAACCCAAGTTCTGAATTCTAGTTGGCAGAGAAATATTAAATCCAATGCATTAGTATTTTTCCCCATAAAAAAGCCACTTTGCCCTTTATAGTTTATACTCATTAAAAATCTGTCCAGTACACATTAAATGCATTCGACCCTAAAGGTAATACTTGACTAAATTTATAAGAGTTAAAAGTGAGAAAGAAGAGACAATTTTAGCATCAAGTTAGTGATTCTAATACATAGTATGATTTTTTGCACATATAAACAAACTTCACCTAGCAACCCTGCATACGTTTTTCCTCAATAATTAATGGAATATAATTCACATTAGCTACTCTGTCCAAGTTTTTCATGAATATACAATAAAATCATATACACAACTCATGAGAGTATATGATAAGAAACTTAAGGTGTATAAAATCTCTAATTGACCTTATGTTCTTACACTATAACCTGCCTCCATCCATTTCCTTTTTTAATTTAATGTAGCATTTAGTGAAGTGTCCACTTCAAAATTCCTTAAAACAAACAATTAGTTGTAAAAATAAAAATAATAAATAGAGTAAGTAGTACCAAGGAGCAGGTAGCTTGACGGAGCTCAAGTCAAACCCGACCCCATTATCCACCTCAGAAACCAAACCGACAGCAAAGCCGTCGAGAACCCCAGCTGCTTGAGCTCCAACCTCCGGTCTTGAAATAGCGAGAGCAGAAAGTGACGAGTCCGGCGAGGGAGCCGAAGGAGGAGGAAAATTGGGGACCTGATGGTTCCATTGATCCAACATCCATATGGAATAGAGTATGATGGAAACTCCAATAAACCCTTGGAGAAAATTCAAGAACTTGAGAACAAAAGCAAACGAAACATGGCAGCAATTCGACTGCATTGCCCTAAGATTTCAATCGAATTTCGAAATCCTTATTTCGATTAAAATCCCTAATTTTGATTATGATTTTGGGGAGAGGTATATGAGATGGAAGCGGCGTTGATGGATTTTTGTGTTTTGATTTTAAAAGTTTTCTGCTTTTTAGTTTTTGTAGTTTTGTTATGTTTTGGCGTGGCGCGAGAAGGAACTGAGCTTCACCGTAAAGAGAAGTCGAAACAGAAACGGTTAGTTGTTTGGATAAGTTGGGCCTTTTCTTAGGCTCCTGCTCCGGCCCACATTCAATCCCTAGGTTCATTTGACAAGCCCATATATGACCCATCAATATAAATAGCAATTTTATTTTGTATAATCATCGATATTGATATCTGATTCATTGATTGATTAAATCAGATCAGATACTACAATTGCTCATCATAGAAGAGATCTTTCTAATCTATTTTTTCAGATTCACAATATTAATGTTAGAATATTTGACATTATAACACCGTAAATCCGACTCAATATTGAAAGATTCAAATCACTAAAGAAATTTATTGTTTTTTTTAAGTCTCATTAATAAAAAATCTTTAAAACCCAATACTTACATGACGGTTTATGGTGATTGATTATGTGAAATATGGACTAAATTAATATTTTATTAGACAAATTTGAGAAATAAATGAATTTTTAAAAGTTCAAATACTTATTTAACTTTTTAGAAGAAATAGAAATATTTTAAATTTAATAATTAAAATGTAAAAAATATTCAAAAAGATTAAATTTAATTTTTAATATATGCAATAATTTTTTATTTACTTTTTTTTATAAATATTTTTATATTTTAAATATTAATTTAAAAATATTTTTTATTTTTTTAAAAAAATTAAATAAGTTTTTAAACTAAAAAGAAAAAACTAATCTAACCCTTAAACTTAATTAGAAAAATTAATTTAATTCATATATCACGTCATCAATCATTATATGTTATCATATTAATATTATGAATTATTATGTTAATATTATAATCTCTAACGATAATAACAAAAAGAGAAAATAACCTCAGTGACCAAAAATCCCATATAATATACGATTTAACCAACTTTTTCCGGATTTGCCAAAATGACCAACAAAATCGCAATGCGATCGCTAATTCGCAACGCGATCTCCATTATCGCAAATTCGCGTTGCATTTTCGCAATGCGATAGTTGAAAATCGCGTTGCGATGGTCTACAGTGTCGTTGCGATTTTCCCAATTCGCAATGCGAATAAGTAAATCGCAACGCGAATTGGGAAAATCGCAATGTGAATAAGTAAATCGCAACGCGAATTGGGAAAATCGCAATGCGATACTGACTATCGCAATGCGATAATACAAAATCGCAACGAGATACTTACTTTCGCAACGCGATACTGACTTTCGCAACGCGATTCTGACTTTCGCAACGCGATAATACATAATCGCAATGCGATTTTCAAAGCGCCATTAGTATCTTGGCCAAGTATTTTATTTTTAAATTCCAAAAAACGAATATTAATATATTGGAACACTGAACCGTCCACAGTATATCCCGTAATCGCAACTCATAACCTAAAACCTAAAATCACAACTCAGTCCCATCTCCATCTCTCACTCTCTCACCCATCTCCGACGAAATCCGTCCCCATCTCCGGCGAAATCCGTCTATCTCCATCTCTCAGAGCCACCCTCACAATCAGAAATGGAAAATCAACCAAATCAACCAACGAGGGTTAGTTTTTTTAATTATTTTCTTTTTGAAATTTTTTCATTATTATTAGGTTTTTCATATTGAAATTGATGATAAGTTTACTGGTAATTTCAATAATAGATTAACCATTTCACTTAGATTGCTTATTAAATCAACCGAGAATCGCAACACGAAATGCAAATCGCAACGCGATTTTAGTTTCGCGTTGCGATTATCTCATTGCGATAGTCAAATTCGCGTTGCGATAGTCATTTTCGTGTTGCGATTTTCATTTTCAGAAACTATTCTTCTTCTGCAAATTGAAACTTGAATGAATTGCATTACTTCAACCAAAAAACAAAGACAAATACGAAATTCACAGTGTTGCAAATTTAAGTTTGAAGAATAAACTACTACTCTTTATGTTTATTATTGTTTTTGGTATATCTTCACAGTGTAGTTTTTGGTATATCTAATTTAGTATGTTTATTGTTTTTGTAGAACTTTTATTCGGCTCAATTGACCTTGAGAAATAAAGTCAGCCTGGCCAAAACAATTGCGTCGAAGCTTTCACCTGCACAAAGAAAAATATTTGAGGATACATGCTTCGGGCCATGGCTGAAAGTACAACATCCCGGTGGAGATGCGATGTTGACACACATGTTTCTTCAAACCATGACTAGCGATCTACCAGAGACTATACAACGTCGTGATGAGAGATATGGTTTGATTTTCCACCGGCGTATACGTGTTTTGGGCGGGAGGAGTTTTGCTTAATCACCGGTCTACGCTTCGGACACGATGATGTAGGTCGGTACACTAGACACATTACCCGCCCATCATGGCTATCCCGGGTTTTTCCTGAGCTGGAGAGGCCGAGTCTACACGTAGAAGACCTGACAAGATTGTTGAATAATAAAGATAGTTTTACTCGGATGGATGACGTCGACGTTGTCCGAGTATGCCTTCTAATTCTTTTGCATGCCGGCTTTTTAGGCAGAGAGGCCAGACAACCTATTCCAAATGATCTAATCAAATTGGTAGAAGACCTAAATGCGTGGAACCTGTTTCCGTGGGGCTCGTATTATGGAAAGCTACATGGAATAAGTTATCGTCTGCCTTGGATGATCGAAAAAGTTGCATGGCGATGGTTCCAAATACACTTTGACAGGCTTTATTTGGGCCTTTAAGGTAAGAATTTTTATATGATGTTTCCAAAATTATAAGTAATTATTTAACAATTACTAATGTTTGTTATTATATTGTTTGTAGATTTGGATATTTGAGGCCTTTCCCGCCATGAAGACATATGCAATAAAAACTTCAAATGATATTCCCAGGGCTATTTCCTGGAAGAGGAAACGGACCTTGCAATGGGAAGATTTACTACGGTATACGACAATAAATAATGTAAGTTAACATAAATACTACCATATGTTTATAAACAAGTTATTACTAGTACACGTTTAACTTTGTTTGAGCTTTTATATTATTAGGAGGCCAACACTCCTCTACAGAGGCTGACACCCACGGAAGCTGAGCTTGCCACTGATTGGTGGCAAGCTAGTAAGCGTTTTTTTGATGGAACGCTTGATGAGCAGCCTCCACTTCGGGAGCCATCACCTCACCCAGAGCTATCACCTCACCCAGAGCCATCATCTGATCGACCCGGCTATACACCTCCACAACGACAGCCATCACCTATTCTGTCACATCATCGAGCCTCTTCGCCACCATCACCGTAAGATAGGTGACCGGCAAAGATGCAACGACGTTTATCTCCCTGTTCTCCACCTCAACGGGATGAGTTAGGGGAGTTACGTGATGAGGTCAATGCCTTGCGTGAGGAGGTCGGTACTTTACGCAAAGACGATGGTGCATGGCGTGTTGAGGTGTCTACATTACGCGGTGAGGTAGCCGCTCTACGTGAGATGGTAGCATCGTTGCAGAATGAGGTTCATACTCTACGCAACGAGGTAAGTTTAAGATTTTTCATACTCGTAATTCATTCGGTTGCTGCCAATACTGCTAAACTGTTTTTGTTAGTATTTGTTTTTGGTTTTGTTTTTGTTT